GTGTGCCTTTGGCAGTCTTACTTATTGTAAAAGCAATTGGGCTATTTTAATCTCACACACACACACACACACACACTTCTCCGCCTCATTCTGTTTTCATTTACTCGTTCGTTATCTGACCAGCTTCAATCTTGTAGGCTACTCACTTCGTTTCTTGTAGCCCTCGAACGGGTTTTGGAGGTTGATGCCTCGGTGAGCGTGAGTCGTTTGGCTTTCTTGTCCGCAGCAGCAGAAAGCATTTTCGAATGTTTGAATGAATCAAAGTGGGTCGTCACCGTCGATTTTCTCTTATGCTCCAACACACGGTTGCACGGGGTGCAGAATAGTTTCCCTCCACTTTTTGCCCGGTCTTTAGTTGAAATGTTCGTCGGTAAATGAGATGGATTAGATTTTTTCATCTTGGTGTTTTCTCTATCGTGTGAGCTCCACACGTTCACACTGTTGTTTACATTCTGTGATGCGCGAGCTGATGACGTCACGTCAAGACGAGTTAACTTTTTTCCCCCTCAATTTTGTGTGGAAAAATGCGGGGGTTTATGCGGCCTTTGGATAAATAACGCAATTTTAAAAATCTGCGCCATTTTGCTGATTATGCGGTAAATTCTGCGATCGCAGAATCGCGTTTTTCTGGAGGGTCTATTATTCAGATGCTGATAATGATTTAGTATTGCAGACACTTTAAAGATCCATTATGTTTTTATGAATAATCATTCTCAATGATGCTCAAAGACTTACACTCACAGTTTCTCCTTAGCTGTGGCTTCACATTAGGTACTCTTCCTGTCTGTCTTCGCATCTTCCAAATATCTTACCCCTCTTTTAGAGAATATTTCAGCAAGCACCTGCATCATTTCAATTTTGTGTTACACTTTAGAGGGTTTCTGTCTTGTCATCTTTGTCCTTTGGAGAGAAGATTTCACATAAAAAGCATCACTAAACAAAACAGAAAAGTACTTTGTGTTGATCCTGAGAAATGTATGGTCATAATAAAGTATATTATTTTACATTCACATGAAATGTTGGTCTTTTTTAACACGGAAACAAATTCCATCATTTGATTAAGATGTTAATTTCCAAAAAAGAAATAAAGCATTAATCTCAAAGACATTTCCTTTTTATTTAATTAATTAACAGTACATTTTCCACAAAACCGCAAGGTTTATGTCACAATATCACCTTGAATGAACAGATTTAAAGGCCATTCAAACTAATCTTTCACCGATCTGATTGTTCTGCTGTCTAAACAAAGAAAATACTTTATGTGCAAAAATGTACTAAAATATCATGATTTGCAGTCAGAAATATATATTTTTATAGAACAGTTGATATTTTCTGACCCCTACACACAACTGACAAACCTGGAATTCATTCTTTAAAAAACTATTATGACAGTATTTAAAAAAAACACCTGGTATTCTGCATGTGGCTTAGAAATCATAACACTTTTGTTGAAATGACTTGACACTGCAGCCGCATTTACCCAAACTATTATAAACATTATCTTTGTTTAATTGGGGAAAATCTGACCTTAACTTCAGGAAACCGGACTCTGTGTTATTTTGTGTTTTTTTCATCTCCTTGCTGTGGGAGCATTGTAACCCAGCCTCAGTGGAGAACAGATAAATAAGTCGGGGAATTGCCCTTGTTGGCTTGTGGGAATCTCCCAGAACGACTTCCAGCTTCAGGGACATTCCCAGGATGCAGCTGCATTTAGCTGTCCAGTAAAAATCCAAGGCTGCACTTTCACTGTGGCTCCAAAAATAAAATATAAACATTACCAGGAGCTCTTGTGAGATATATGCAATTAACTTAGAACTAGTGTTCCACTGGTACACTCCAAAGCAGTGTGCTGAAACAGTTAAATATTATTTTAAGTATGTTTCCAAAATTAGATCTAAAATCCGGACCATGAACACTGCGCCCATGAGACTCCACTTCAAGTGATTCATATCTCTGGCAGCTAGCATTAAGACGTCTTAAGCAGCCGCGGGCCTTTCATCACTTAATGGTTTTAAGTCTTGTTTGATGTAACTACTGTAGGTTCATATCATGTTTTTATGGCTCCCTTCAACAGGTATGAGAAGCTCTAGGGTACAGAATGTATGCATACCTTCCTGCACCCTCAAGCCCTGTTTTATATCCCAACTGAAGTAAAGAAAAAACTGCCTGATAAACACTCAGACTGGAATTTTGGGAGATGGAGCCAAATATTTAAGTGACAGTTAAAAAATGTATGTAATTATAAACACAGGTAATTATGTCTCTGTCAGTGAAAAGTTGTTTTTGCTCTTTTTTCATGATGAAATAGGATTCAATCAACCTGCAATATATTTGTTCAACATTTTAATCTTTTAATATCTCCACTCAGTGTCAGGTGTCCATTTTAAAGGTTCTTCCTCCATGTTTGACTTTCAAAGGAGTTATCTCAGTCCTAATAAAGCAAGAGTGAAATCCCATAAAGACAGAGGCAGACATAATATCAACAGGGCCTGTTTAGATAGTCACTTGATATTAAGCCGTCTATCTGGAGTATACTGAACTCAGTGAACTGAACTAAACTTTGGTTCATTTCTAATTTGCGAGTGTCGGGAGATATGGGTTTCTTCTGGTAAACATCCTTGACAGCGATATGCATGTGAAACAAGACCTTTTCTCCCCTTCTTCGCTTGTGGGGTTTACTATGACGCAAGATTAAAGGAGCCAGGGTTTCTTTGATTTAGCTGAAAAAACCCAAACCTGTAGTCGAGATACCACATAATACAAAAGTGGTTTTCACCTGTCTTTTGTTTGCATAAAAGGAGGCTTTTGGTGTTTTAAAAGTTTAAAAGAGAGACAACTTAAACACTGGCTTTGGTCTCAACATAACTTCCTAACCAATTAATCTGGCTTCGTAGTACACTGCTATACTCCCTAAATCTCTACTGACCTTTGAGTCAGCATCATGGCGGCGAGTCAACAAGTCAACGAGTCAACCACAAAAACACACCGCCGATGTTTCCGACTTCTGTTTTGGTACCGTGTTACCTGTGACACTAAAAACGAAAGGTTGGAGCAATTGCCCCTGCGAGTACCTTACCCAAGGAGTGATGAGACATCAAAGCAGACATTTAAAATCGTCCATGTGACATTCAAGTGAAGAAGTTGGTGACATCAAACTAAAACGATGTATAAAGATTCATTTTGTTAAAACTATTAAGGCAAACAACACAGAGTGTGCGGCAGGAATCACATCCTAAGGAAACAAGGGTCACCTGTGCATACAGTACTTATGTTGAGCTGTGTATAAGCCTTACTGTTTCCAATGAACTTTCAATATCAAGATATGTTTGCTGTCTTAGCTCCAGCTTTTACCTATAAATAGTATCAAGTATGTGTTGTGTCTCAAAATAATACAAATCAATTTAAAATGCATGTGTGTGTGTAGAAGCATAAACCTGTATTGTCATTGTGTTAATTCTGATACACTTGAAGACCTTTTGACCTCCATTAGTTAACTAGGCAATTGAAAACACCTGCTTCCACTCATCAGCTTCCTCCTGACACACACATGTTGTGCACTCTCCTCTTCTGATTCATGGGGCTTCACGCACATAACAAGGATTACCACGGTATACATGTCATTAGGTACCAATTACAACCACATTCAAGCCTTTTGCATGTCTTTCATTGGACGTGTTCTAAGAGGCTCAGCTCGGTAAATGTTCTGCAGTGCATACTCCCCATTCACTCCTTATAAACATGCATGGTGAGCTAAGCCTGGGTAATTGCTGGGAAACTTTACGCTGTGACCCTGGGCACACATTCCATAGATGCAGTGTCCTTCAATGGGAGGGCTATTAAACACATTACCAAGGTCCCAGCTTTTCTGATGTGTTTTTTTGGGGGTCTTTTGTTCCACTACAGTCCAGCCCCTGTACTTGGCAGCTCATCTGAGGGCCTCGGGGTAGATATCTTGACGCACCGCTGACAGATCTGCCTGTTCTGGACCGCGGTGATGATGAGAGAGCAGTCCAGAGGAAAGGGGGGGAGGGGGGGGGGAGATGTGGAGAGAGTGAGAGGTGGAAGTGAAGAATGGAGGGAAGGAGAACACAGAGGAGCGGTGCCTCAGATCCTGCAGGGCCGGGCCTCACACACCGTAGACCCTCTCCTCCGCCCTCCCTGCCTCATCCCTCCTCCACCTCCATTGCTCTGTCACTCAGGACTAGACTATTTCATTTTAATAAGGCTAATCCCTCCTAGAAGTAAGCTGCTCATCACCTCTCCCCCTCCTGCTCCTCCAGACGAGAGCAATCTCCTTTCACCGCAAGGACAGGGTGAGGGTTTGCTCCGCTTGATAGAAGAGGAAAATGTGAAAGGTGAGACTGAAAAGAGGCCTTGACAGCAGCTGTGGTCGGTCTCAATGAGAAGATTTGGGCCTCCGTGGTTTGATAAACTTGCAGGTGGCGTACCTTTTGTAGCGATTCACCCTCCAACCAGCCAATAACATCATGCTGAAATGAGGCACGGGGATAACTTTGTTCCCCGCAGAGGAAGTGGAGTGACACAGTGGGTATTTTAGTGTATGCTATCGCCTGCCTTCTGTCAGCAGAGCACTCTCCAGCTGTCAGCAGTAAAACTTAGTTTGCCTGCTGCTCGAGAAGTCTCCTTGATGCTGAGTACTAGCGACGATATCCACATTTTATGAAGAAATAGTTCCATCTTTCAAGTAAATATGTTTATTTTCATAGCTTGTAGTTTTCAATTTGTATAAGACCTAAACTTAAATAAAAAGATTGATACCACTATCATGTATATTATAATTCACTCTGGCAGATTGTTAACTAATCATAAAGGCTGGAAAAGGGTTAACAGCTAGCATACCCAAAGCTGGCAACATTCACTTTCTCACACTTCTAAAGCTCATTTACAACTTGTTATGTAAACTATACATAATCTGAAGTGTCAAAATGACGCAGGGATTATGTGCCGGACTATTTCAGACTCGGTTTCCCTATCTCCAGTCTTTGAGCTGAGCTAAACTAAGCTAAGCTAACTGGCTGCTGGTGGTGGCCTCATTGCCGACAAACAGATACAGGTGTGTTGATGATTTTCTAATTAAATAGCAAATAGGTCCACAAATGTGGAACTATTTGTTCTAGAAAGAAATCCAACAAGTTATAGCAATTCATACTGAGCATTTATGTGTGAACCTCCTACAGACAAATTAACTTCATGAAAGCAATGTTAAGTACATTTTTTGCTTTGATTAACAGTAGGCCTACTGTACCTTTCATTTTGTGTCTGTTTTTCTGTTCTCTTCACAGATGAAAGTATTTTAAAAATACATTTTAAAGTTTCCATAGAAGCCTAAAGGGTTTTTTGTATGTTGACATAAAGACTGATAGTTCAGATGACAGATCGTACTCTGAAGATTCTACATCCTGGTCTGGGTTTATGCCCAGATGCTAAATTATACACTTTCCAATGTGCACCTTAATCTGAAATCCTCTGGTAAAAATGTTATTAATAATTCCTCACTGAAGGGCTTTCTTTTGATGTGGATCAGGTGGCGGAGCATCAGTCAGTTATGCTGGCTGGCACAGCTTGAGTGAGAATCCCCTGCCTGTGAGGAAGTCCTTCCTCAATAATAACAGACTTTATTTTTGTACTAGAGCTTAAGAAACACTTTACAAAAGAACAGCACTTCAAAAGAATACCTTTCTAAATTGTAGTCAAAGATAGGAAGAGACGTTGCTATAGTAAGCATGAGAGTTAGTTTCCTTACCTTGGAAATACTACTAGACAAAATAATCTTGACTCAAGGTTTACTTATTATCTTATTATGTGGCAGTCAACTGTAGATGCAGCATGTGTAAAGCACCAAGCTCTTTAGAGAGTCCTTATTTTACAGTCTGACTAAATAATGTTAAGCAAATGTCTGCTTGCTGGATTTTTTTCCTGAGCTCCTTACCACATCACAATGTTATATAATTTCTCAGAAAACAAATAATCACTGTGAGATATTGTTCATTACTCAAAAGAAAAAAATAGTAAGTCGACTTTGAGTCAAGTCTATTTTTCTCAAGCTGTACTGTTACATGTTCTATTCTTGACTGCACACTGGACATACTCATGTCAACACTCTCTCTCTCTTTCTTTTTTTTACACACACACACACACACACACACACACACACACACACACACACACACACACACACACACACACACACACACACACACACACAGTTGTGTAAGTTGGTTCGGGGCTGGTAGAAATCACAAGAATCCAAACTGTTGAGAGCTTTGAAATTAGAAAATGAAAAGTCAAGAGGGAACATTCCACAGCAATACCCTGGTCACCTGATCGCTTATTAGGTCAAGGGTCAACTAATGAAACCTACCCACAAAAAAGAACGGCGTTTACGGTTTACAGCGATCAAAACATATCCTGAGGAGTTAACCGGGGATAATTTTAGCAACTCAGCGGCTGCTTTGAGTTTAAAGAGATGCTGAGGAAATGCTTTTTGATGCTAACTAGATGCACATGTGTTGTTCTGATGGAGACAACAACAATTAGAAACATATCTAAACAATATTTTTCTCAGAGGCAACCACCTGTTCCTTCTCCAGCGTGACAGATTGTGTTTCACTGTCTAAATCTGCAATCCAACTTGGTTGACTGTGTGAAATGTGCAGGGTGCCCCCATGTTGGGGGATTTAGGCAGCAGACCCTCACTCCACCCCACCCCACCTAACACCCACCCCAGCAGGAGCGGCTAAGAGGCCAACCAGAACAATGCCAAGGCAATGGCTTAATTCGCCAGGCCAGATTTACAGCCCCTCCTGCCCAGCACCTGCTCACATTGTTTCCCAGGATCTGGCTTGAAAACTTTAAATAATTGGTGATACAAATTGGATTGCAGGCTATAGACACCCCCCTTAGTTAAGGATTTATTTTCATCTTTTTATGTTTGGGAAATCTCTTAGACTTATAGATAAAGAAATCAACCGAGGACAATCTGACATCATGAATACCCTTAATGCCAGGGGGTGGGGGTTCACTGGGTTTATTGCTGTAGTGTTTCCCATTGTCCAAAACATTAAAGAAGTGTGAGTGGAGCTTAACCCTGCAAAGCTCTCTGCATTTATCTGTGGAGCCCCAAATGCCACGGGTGTTTATGTTGCATGCAAGCTTACTAAATTGCACAACATTCTTTGCATCAGCCAGTACAATAATAACTAACCAGCGAGGGTGAGGACACTCCCTGTGTGTGTGTTGGTTTGCAGAAGGCACATTCCTGAGTCGGCCTGGAAGAAAGTGAGAGGCTCCGGAGAGGAGAGAGCAACTGCAAAACAGAATTCCCAGAGTGGGTTGAGGAGGGGACGACTGGAGAGCAGAGGCCCCTTTTGTCACCCAGGCCTTATATTGGTGCCTCAGAAGCCATATGGACGCCTGCAACTGTGCACCCTAACATCAGCCCATTCTTCCCCATCCTCCAACCCCTCTGCTCCGTGACAGGACCGTCCTCGTGGATGGGTCATGGCCAGATTGAAGTCGACCCCAGCTCACTTCTCTTGAGGGGAATCAGCTTCTTTTTTTTTCTTCTTCTTCTTTGTCTTCTCTCTCGCCCGTCATTCAACGATTTAAATTACTGTTGTTTATCGCAATCCTCTCTCTTTCCTTCGGAGGCATCTCAGATGCAGTGTGAAAACCTGGCAATAGAAAGCTGCCCAATATTATGCACGGACCCCCCTCTCCGTGTCCCTCCAGTCTCCTTTCTGGCAGGACACCGACTGTCAGTAGCGCCTATAGGTTTGGTGAGCTGCTCTTCACCTGAGGTGGACTCAGATGAAGGACAGAAACTAATAGAGTACAGAGGGCTGGAGAGGTAGTTGTTGTGACACACAGCAGTGAAACAGCGTCCTCAGAAGTGTTGGAAAATAATTAATAAAAAGAAAATAATTAAATGTTTTGGTGAGAACTGAAATGAATGACACCACCGTTTTTTTTCCAGATGCTGAGCAAATGTTATGGCCACTCGTTCAGATGCAGCACCCTGTAATGTCAGAACAGCCAAGCCGGGGTTGGGTTGGGCAGCACCATATTGAATAAGCAGGTGCAGCTACTGATTCTAAAATGAAAAGATGTATAAGACAACAATCCATACATGTAATATGGATACACTTCAAGGAATGATGCAGACATCTTCACATCTACAAGAAGATACATGTGACCAGTGTTTAGATGATGACGTTACAAGGGCAACAACACAATCTATCATATTTTCAAGTTGTTATGCTGAACATATCAGCAAATATTAAGCAGATACAGAACAGCTTTCATTTGCACTTTCGAAACGAGTCCGTCAGGAACTGGTTGCTGAGCCGGTAGTGTAGAGAGCTTATTATCTATTCTGTTAATAGAGACCTCCATCTGCTGTGACTGAAAACATGCCAGGTCAGACTTGAACCAAACAGAGAAGTTGTACAAAAAAGTGGCCTGTAAAATATGTAAATATTAGCTAAAAGAAACTAAATGGGAGCTGCAGAGTCAGATGAAAATCCTCTGTGGGTGTGTAGTTCCAAATAAGTCATTTGACACAGAGTGATTACATCCATTGTTTATGTCAAAATACTGACTATTGCAGCTTTAACAATGTGTTCAAGTCATGGTTTTCTGAATAAAAAAATAATGGATAATTTACAGAATCTTTTGGTATTTTCTTGCTTATTACTTTTACAATCCAGCCAGGCCCACTGCAACACGTTCAGGTAGATGCTGTGTGAACTGTTGACTGAGTGAAGCCACAAGCTGTAGAACTGAGCCCCCAGAGGGTTATTTATAGGTTATGGTTCGGGATGAGTCTGTATGCAATAAGGGTTTGTGGTCTGTGACTTTAAATTCCTTCTTAATACTACACAAGATGAGCCATGCCAAATGAATGTTACACTAGAGGAGTTTTCAACAACAACAGATACAAATCATGAAATTAAAGAGCCATAAAACGACTTCCTGTCAAGGTCAGATCCTTGAGATATTCCAGACTGTTTCCCCGGGGAGCGTTGGTGAAGAACGGGCAAATGGATGGCATTACCCAGTAACTAGATCTTAGAAGGGTGGAGGAAAACAAATCCATGTTTGACTCTGAAGTGCCAACCCAGAAAAGGTTCTGAATGTCAATGGAAGAATCCATTTTATGTTCACTGCCCTCATAGTTTTCAAATAGATCATATTTCAATAAAAATTGTACAGTAGAGGTTGCAAAAGACATTCCTGATAAAAACTGCAAATGTTTTTAATATTACAAGAATCTGTTTAGGTTAACAATTTTGATGAAGATATAAATTAAAAGAATAAACCATGTTTCTGTATAAATGCAGTCCGTGCAGATGTGTGTAAATGCGTGGGATATCATGTATCTTCCGTGTCGGCAGGAGCGGTCCACAGGCCCAGGCCCTTCAGGACGCTCTCCTCCAGCTCCAGGTGAACATTATACTCCTTCATGTTCTCCTCGTCATTCTCTGTCGGAGATTTGACCGGCTTGTAAGGATCCTGGAGAAAAGAATTACAGTCATAAACACTATGTGGCAAATGGTAGTTCTCCCTACAGAAGGTCTGATATTTAATTGTCTTTGAATCTGAAAAATGTAAAGAAAGTAACTTGAAAGCTAACTTGTTTGGTTTTGACTTGGATTCTTGTTTTTGTTATTAATTAATGAAAATATTGACATTTCCTGAAAAATTAACTTTTTCCTTAATGTGAAAAAGTAAAGGCTTCACAAAACACTTCAAATATTGGTCTTTCAATTTAGATTGATCAAATGAGTAATAATATATTATTTTAAATGTGTCCTTAGGAAGTTTTTAATTAGGTAAAATCAAAATACTGTCTTATAATGCAAAATCTTTCAGCTTATTTTCCTTAATGTTTTTCTTTTTACTTTCCTTAACAGTGAGTGATGAATTATCAGCAAACTTCACCTTTGTTCAGTCAAAGATAAGAACCTTTTGCCACTAAAAGAAGTATCTTCTATGGTTAGCAGACAGACTGCCAGTCACTGTCAGTAACTTTTCTCTCCCCGGGGCCCAGGATCAAATAACGATCAGACTGAATTAAACATGAGGGGAGGGAGAGGGAAAGAGAATAGGAGAGTGACAGAGAGATGGCCCCAAGCTCTCTCAGCATCAACTTTGAATTTGTGGATACACTTAGAATTGAGGAAGCCTCTGAAAGATCAGTGTACATTCAGAGCGGCTGTCAGTGAGGTCACGGTGTAGCTGGGGACACGAGGTAGAACTCAAGGCTACTAAAACAACCAGACATCACAACTCACCATTTTCTTCTTGAGCTCCTCTGCTTCCTTCTTCTGTTTCGCCCACAGCTCATCCCTCTTTATAAAATCCTTTAACCTGTCCTCCTCCAGCTTGAAGTACTTCTTCACACTCAAATTCTGCACACAAAGAAAGGCACAGCTCAGCAGTTTGGTTACTATTGAACCTGCATGTCTTCACTGAATCTATCGACAATAGATTCAGTAATAATCAATAATAATTCATTGTTTTGAAACAGTATGTTGCAGAGCTGGATTTGTTATCTCTATTTTGAACAATGGTACATTTTTATCCCAACATAATAATGAAGTAGACAGCCTAAACGTGTTTTTTAAAGCGAGGGGTACACACTGTGAGTAGGAGGTGGCTGGACTGTCTTACCTCACTCCTGGACGGAGCGTAGAGGGTCTTTGGGATTTCCAAAACACGAACCATCCCAAGGTCGTCAGTCACCGCCAGGAAGTGCTGCTTGGCTAAGAAAAAGAAATAGAGTGAATAAACTCTATGGCTCAAACTATCTCAAGGAACCAAGGCTATGAAAACATAAATAAAACCGTCTGTATCTGAGCAGCATAGTGGGGTGAACAGCAGAGTTTATGGGATTTCACATTGTTTATTAGATTTATTCATTTATTTGATTGTATTTGTGTTTTAAAAGGTTTTACTCCTTCATATTCCAAATTGGATATGTCATTGTATTTAAGATAATTTAATATTTTCTATTGTTTTTTTCTGATTTCTTTCTCTCATGTGCAGTAGTCTCAAATTGTTCTATTGTCTTTGTTTGTCTTATAAGCTTGTCAGTCATATGTAAAGCACTCTGAATAGCAGGGGGAAAAACCAAAAGAGAAATCTATATATTTTTAGCATTTGTAGCAGCGCGCTCAATTCACCACCCTTTATTGCCATTTAGGTTTAAATAGTATTTTCCCATTGACACATATGCTAACTCCTGTGTTGAAAGAGGCGGAGGACTCACAGGAGGCGGTCCAGGGTTTGATGCAGGTGATCTTGGCATCAGTGATGTGAGCGTGGACCTGCAAAGGTTCACCGGTCTTCTCCAGCAGGTTCCACACCTCGATGCTGCCGTCATCTTTCCCGATGAAGAAAACAGCTGGCCGGGACGGGGACCAACATCCAGCTGTGCACACCTGCTCAGAGCTCGGGGACGTGACGATGGGGCCTTCCTGGATGTCGGAGAAAACAAGAGTTAGTAGGTTTAAAATGCAATTAACCTGTTGTGTTATCATTTTCAAAAGATATACTTTCTTTACATCATGATATGATTTAGTTGATTTGCTTATAGTGTCCTGGTAACAGTAAATGGGGCAGCTTTAGCCAACATTGCTAATATCAGCTGTTGTCCCCGGCCAGATGATAATATACACCTTTTTAAAATCACAATACATCAACAGCATCAGTTATAAAGAAAGGATGAAAGACAAGTAGATCGAGGCGAAAGGATAATAGAGAACGATACAATGCAAACAGCACACGTTACTACATACATGTCACATATAGCACATCGCAATCACACAGCAGAAACGAGGGGCAACATCCACGATCACAACATGTAACACACACACACCATATCCAACACAGACTAGTGTGTGCAGGTGTAGTTCTCAGTGAACCATGTTTTTAATTGATGGATTGAAGAATACTATGGGTTAAAAGACTGGAATAACTTTCATATTTAGTGATGATTCCATTTTTTCCCAATTAAATCAAGTAAGAGGTTATGATTTTAACTGGTTGCAACATTTTCTGCTACTGCAGTTGAGGCGACAGGTGTTGTTACCATGACTCCCTCCTTCCAGATGGCGAAGTTCCAGCTTCCCATTGTCAAAATAATGTCTTTGTAGAAGGGCGACCTCTGTACCGTGTTCACCAGCCAGTGATGGGTTCTAAAGCAGTGGAGGGGCTTGGCACCTGAGAGAGGAGAGAGAGGAAGAGAAGGGGGTGACAGGGTGACGCTTCCACAGGAGCAACAGGGCAATACATGCAACATTTACCCACCTGTGTCCTCTTGGTACAGGGCGAGTACATTCACCAGTAACACCCCCTGTTGTTAAATCTTAGGTAACCTTAAGCTGTCTTTGGCTCTTTTCCGCTGTAACAATGTAAATGTCCCCTCTGTGGGACTAATAAAGGTATTCTGATTCGGATTCGGATTCAGCATGGCTGTCATGACTACTCTGACGACATCTTTCTTTTATAACTTTGGCAGAATTGTTTTTAAATCCATAGTTTTTCATGACTTTGATGATACCTCAACTTTAGTGTAACAAACCACATCCTGGTCTCCTTTGAAGAATAGACATAAGTCAACATGAACATACATAAATATAATTAATCCTCTTTAAACTGACTTACTCTGCTGCCTCCCAGAGTCGTCCTTCACCAGTTTCCAGTCGGTGTAAATAATCTCCCCATCCTGGTAGGAAAGATATTCACATTATGTGACATGTTATCAACATGGGGTCGACCTGCATCAACCTTTTTTCCCCTTAGCTTTGTTTTAAAGCTCATCCAGCAGCTCACTGTTGTAGCGAAGTTAAATACTGCTCGCTGTTGCTGATTATATTGGTAGGAATGTTTACCTCTGTTCCAATATAGAGCCTGGTATTGAAATCTTCCAGAGTAGCGAGTGTTTTTGCCGAGGGCACTCTGAGCTGGCTGTAGTCAGGAACGACCTTTGAGCCGTCATCATTCTCATTAGCTCCCTCTGTCAGGGGAAACAGCGAGGGAGGGTAGAGAGAAAATATAATTAAAAAAATGTTTCACATTCATGGGTCTTTTTCAGCCATTATGAAAAACATGTTGACAATACACTGTAGAAAACTGCAGAATACAACATTTCTACAACATCTTAGAGAACTTCTGAAAAACTTAAGTTAGTGCAAAATCTACAGCTCGACCATGCTACACATGTTAGTTAGACCCTCCAGAAAAACGCGGACAAAAATCCTTGATTATGCGGGCTAAATTCCTTGATTATGCGGGCTAAAATCCTTGATTATGCGATTAAACATGCAGGGTTTTATGTGATTTTATGCGGTGAAACTGCGGGAAGTTGCGAAATATGCGAAAAAAAATTATCGATTTTTATTAAAATATTGGGCTGTCTTATTTATTCTCTCTCACACACAACCTGCCACTAACGTTAAACCCCTTTACTATTGAAT